GGTGCATCACGCGCCACTCACGTGACACAGCTGGGAGGCTCAGTCCACCCTGGACACGCCACATCAGCATAAACCTGCTTATTTGGCAACATGGACCTAGAGTGAACCAAAACTCAATATTACTGTGCCATAAATGTATTTTCCAAGTTTATGGACCTATCTGGCACCCCTAAACAAGTTTGTGGACCTCGAGTGCATTTAACTCTTGATTTTACATCTAATGGTTAACAAATTTGAAAAAATATATGTGCCCCTTTCCATCTTGGAGCATTTCACGGTGGCCGATGTTGGCCATGCTGTCAGCGGTCCTTGACGACTGGCGCTGCAGTGGTGTGGCAGCGACAGCGGGTCTGCGACGGCTTATCGGAAGCATGTCCATGGCGACCGGTCCCGCTTAGCGGTGGTCAGTTTGGTGTGGCCACTGCGGCTCCTTCTGTTGGTGAGGCTAAGCGGTTACGTTGGTGGCAATAGGATGACTACTACCATTCTTGGAGTTTGAGGGGTGGTGTTCGGTGGTGCTATCTGATGCAAGTGGACAGTGATTTCTAGTAGGTCTCCTCCTAGGCGATCTTCTTTGGGCCAGTGATGGTGGGTTGGCTGCGGTCCGTGTAGACCGGCGCGACGTGCCACTCATGTCTATGGTTGGCTTACAGCTGCTGCGACAACCAACTGCAGGCGGTTCGTTGTGGATGGCAGTCTGGGCGGGAACACTCGTTGCTTTCTCTAGAAGCTTCATGGACAGCGACGTGCAGCAGCGCTGGTAGCTCCCTTGGCTTGGTGCAGGAGCAAGTGGTGACTTCACGTGGTGGCCGGTGTCATGCAGGATGGAGGTGGCCCTTGCGGGCCGGCGTGGCGGCGATAGGTCACCCATGCCTGTGACCTCTTCGGTGCCTCTGCGATGTCCTGCTGGTGGTGGTTTACTTCGGTTTGGCTCAGCTGCGAGGTTACTCTAAAATCAAAGCTAGATGTGGATCTCTCTCTCTCTAAAGCCTTATCCCTTTCCACGTTGCTCACCATAGCCAGCGGTCCAATTCGAAGCTCCTGTCCCTCATCAATGCCTCTGAGATCAGGGCACGACAGTGGCAAAGCTAGAAATTTTTAGAAGCCCGATCAATTTTTATTTTGTAAAAATATTTAACTAAAACTAGTGTTTCAAGCGAATCCTGTATCACTTGGAATGATGTACCTCAAGGTGTTGAGGGTGCTCAGCGATTTAGCTGAAGCTTATAAGTAATGAAAAGGCCAGAAGTTTCAAAAAAAATTATTTTCTTTTATAGTTTGTTGATGAACCTGGACAAGCTGGCCAGGGTCGTCGGTGTTGAGCCTCACTTGGAGGTGAGAAATTGCAAAAATAGAAGGGTTACGGTTTTGCTCTTTGAATCTTTGAAGGGTTAGGTTTAAGAGGTAAGTTTATCCATCCCTAATGTCTTTTAAAAATTTACTCTTACATTTCTTTCACTAATTTTTGTTCTCATCTAGAGAGGTATTGTTGTTATTTTTTTCCATTTTGTTAGCAATTTAGACCGATTTATCGATTTTTCCCAACTTACTGGTATGTAGTAGGCTCACATCAATTTCTAGTTACTTTGTCACTATTTCTCTCTCTATGAATGTACAGGTTTTTAGATCTAGCTAGATCAGATCTAGATCAATTTATGCCGAAATTTTAGTTAATTCCTTCACTAGTTATATGCTACTACTATTTGATGGTGGGGTCAACAAAATTAATTAGATGCTGGTGATTCCTTTTTCACAAATTTACTCAAATTTAGATAGTTTTGAACAAAACTCAAGCATATATTTGTAACCTTTATGTTGCCTTATCTCGTAATAAATAAATTTCTTCGTGCCTTGATTAGCGAGGATATTGCATATAGCACCAATAATACGGAATAGTATCGCTTATAAATATGGAGCTAAGTCTTTATCACGGCGTCGACTACCCTTTGGTGGACAATGGACAGTGGATACCGGATATATACTACTCCTATATATCTTGCGCAAAAGTAGACAAGAGCCAAAAATTCACCGGCTAAGAGCACCCTCAACAATTGAACAAGCATTCTAGTTCGTATTTTTACCACATCATTTTAAATTGAGCATAAGAGACAAGCACTCTAACAATTTTAATATTTTAGATAAAGTTTATATAATTTGGCTGAAACATTATAGCATATCAATAATGATCTAATTAAAAAATATCAATAAGGATCTAAGCACTCTATCTTTTTCAGAAATGCTATACAACACACATGTTTTGGCAAAAAAAAACACATGGATTTTTTTTATCTCTCTCCCTCTCTCTTTCTCACCGGTGACTACTGGGGCTGGCGCCGGGCGAGCCATGAAGCTCGCCTCACGCGCGCCTCTGCCCGCGCCCAGCCATGGTGATGGGTGGTGATGGTGGCGCGCCAGCGCCAGGCGCGCCCCACGCCCACGCCCGCCATGGCAAATGGCGGTGGCGGGCGGCGGCGGGCGCCAGCGGCCAGCGCCTCCCGTGCGCGCGGCCATGGTAATGGCGGTGGCGGTGGCGGCGGTGGATCTGTGATTTGTCCTTCTATAGAAAAAAAATTGTGATCTGTGATCTGTGGAGGCTGGAGGTAGAAGAAAGGTGAAGGCTGTTGGATCCTAATCCTATGGTGTAAAAAAATTCATGTGTTGAAACTGCATAAAACACATGAGTGTGTAGTAGACAGACTTTTTTTTTTATAAAACAATACAACATGGTAGAGATTTTATAGTATTTTAAATGGACAACATATTAGGTGCAAACCAACCAATCTGTGCAAACTTGGAACTACCGATCAGGATCACTAGATGCTGATCCAATGGATGTGGTGAGAGGTGAGATTTTTTTGCGCTTAAGGCCCCACCCGCCGGCCTTTTTTTTGCGCTTAAGCCCCCTCACCTAAGGATGAAAACGGTCGAATTCGGTCGAAAAACTCCTCAACCGTTTTTTACTTTTACATTTGAAATACGAAAGCGAAAGCGAAAGCGGACAAGCCGGACATGAAAACGAACACGAACTTACGGAATATCTAAAATTTCGGAAACGAACCAATTCGAGCGGAATTATGTCGAACGCGGTCGGTATGCGAAAATTCAATACGAAATACCGACCCACAGTACATAACATCAAACAAGTGCACGACCAAATACATAACAAGTTCACAACTAACAAATGCATGATTTAATTCAAGTGCATAACATTAAACAAGTGCACGACTAAATACATAATAAGAGAGATGAGGATGGGCGCCGTCTATAAGAGAGGGCAGCTAGCCACCAGTAGAAAGAACGCAGTTGCGTGGTGAGCAGCCTATAATTGGGCTGTATGACCTGTGCAGTTGGCCAAATTCGGTTTAAACCGAATTTTGAATTCGGAATATTTCAAATTAAAAGTAGAAAAGTAGAAAACGGTCAAAAAATGTGTAAACCGTTTTCTACTTTTACATTTGAAATACAAAACATCTCAAATGCGAAAGCGAAAACGGTAAAGTCGGACAAGAAAATACGGATTCGATCGGATTAAATATAGAAAACGATGCGGTTCGGTTCGGGATATTTCTATTCCGTTTTCATCCTTACCCTCACCTCATCTATTGGATCAGCATCTAGTGGTCTTGATTGATAGTTTCCAAGTTTGCACAGGTTGGTTGATTTGTACCTGATATGTTACCTTTTAAATGGTACTTACTCTATATTTGACAAGTCAAACTTCATAAATTTTGACTAACAATTCATTAAATTATACGTAAGCTTAGAGCATAAAACTTTTTTTTTGAGAATTTCACAGTACAACGTAGATGCTCACAAAAACGCATGCACACTCACCCCTATGAATACACGTACGTAAATCCTATCCTTATGAGCACCTCCGGAGGACTGATGAGGTGGTAGATCTTGAGATTCACGAAGTCACTACAGACGACTCACTGTCGACGAGGACGACGCCTACCACTAAAAGCACAGCGCCATTAAATTTTGGAATAAATCCAAGAAATACGAGCACCCGTACAAAGTCGAGGACTCCGGATGGGCATGCTCTAACACAGGAAACCTAACCAACTAATCCATGGTCGGTTCACACTTAGAGCATAAAACTTATTTCAATAGATTTCTGTTGAAGTGCCTCTGAGATGATACTGATGTGTTTAACAATTGACCAGTACATACTATATTATAAGAGAAATTATGAGTTAAAATCTACTCTGTATTACTTTTCCTCTGATCAAATACAATTATCATTTGTAAAGGAGGGAGTATTGCATTAGAAAAAATGAATAGTTAGTTGTACATACTAAATATATCCAAAAAACTTTTACTAATTAAGCAATGTAAAATTATAGGCAGTGCTGAAACACGTTGATGAGCAAGTATAAAAATGATAAAATAACCAGAAATAAGAATGGTTGACGTAGTATTGCTTACTGATAAAGAAGTGCAGAGTCTACTGTCAAATTGGATGTTTCGTTTTGGAAAAGTCATCTCGAACGCGGGAAGTTTAATACTTACATGTACGTTGACTCATCAGAAAAGCGAAATAGCACTTCGACGGTGCTGCATGATTGACTGTGCGATCTTTTCTTTTTCCTTCCACGACTGATCAACAGACCGGGAACCTTGGATCTGTACGTGTGCCCCCGACAAGTCTGAGCTTTCAGGTTTCAAATTTTACAAGTTTGATACCTCTCTAGAACATATGGATTTCATAGAAATTTCAGAAGAATCAATTTAGTTCCCACATGACTGAAGAAAAAATGTACAGTATATAATTTCAAAAAGAAGAGACAGATAGAGTTACATGTTTTTGTCTCTTTGGTTTCACTGAAAAATTTGTTGTGCATGCTGTATCACCAAATTTAGTGCCTAATAAAATATATAGTGACCAAATTGAAAAGAAAGAGAACTCTCCCAAAACAGAAGTATTTACATGATGCTAAGAACTCCTAAATAACGTTGAGGACAAGATGCATCGCCAGAAGCCCAGAACAGCAGCTCTACCGGAGCACGACGGTGGCGATGAAGCTGAGAACGGCAACGGCGCTGACGGCGGAGCAGCAGAGATCGACGAGCACCTCCTTCCTGGCCTTGGACTCCTTCCTGCCCCTCTTGCTCCTCACGAAGTCCTCGTACCTCCGCTTGGCCGCCTCCTCTTGCTCCTCCGCCCCACCCTTCCTCGGCCCCGCCATGGCCGCCGCGAGCAGCCGCAGGGTGCCTTCGCCGCTGACCGCGGCGCCATCGGCGTCCTCGACGGTAAGGCTGATCTCCCGGACGTGCCCGGCCGCCGTCTCCTGCTGGGAGCAGGAGGAGCAGGTGACGGTGGCCTCGAACTTGCAGCCGCCGAGCACGACCGCGTAGCGCACCAGCGTGTCGCCTGTGTACCAGTGCCTGTCCACGGCGACGGGGCGGCGGCTGGACACGTTCACGGCGCGGCCGCTGCTGGGGTCGATCGCGACCCAGCTGAGGTCCAGCTCCGCCGGGGCCACGGCCACGGCGGCGCCGGCGCGGCCGACGATGGGCACGGCACCGGCGGGTCTCTTGCACTCCACGGCGTCGACGCAGAACGGCGAGGTGAGGAACCACGAGGACGACGTGGAGGTCTCCACGACGCGGGAGAGCACGGCGACGCCGCGGTGGTAGACGTCCACGGCGGAGACGAGCTCGCTGGGGACGGGGAGCTGCTCAGCCTCGGCCCGGGCCATGGGAGCCGAGGAGGCATCGCACGGGAACGGGAAGGCGTCGGCGAAGAGGCGCTGCGGAGAGATGGAGGAGGAGAGGAGGAGGTCTGGTCGCGAGGCCAGCGACGGCCAGCGCGCGAGGCAGAGCGCGCGCCACGTCTCCGGGTCCGCGGCGAGCGCTCGGAGGCCCGCGGTCGCGCAGCTGGCGGCGGCCAGGGAGGGCCCGTCGAGGCGGCGCAGCGCGCAGGCCAGCACGTCGGCGGGAAGGTCCTCCACGGTGGTGGTGCTCCTCGCCATGCTCCGAACGGGCGCTGGCGCTGCGCCTGCGCTTGAACGGTGGTGCAAGCTCGACGGGTCGAGTGACTCCAAGCCACTGGTCGCGCAACACAACACTCCAAGGGTCTCCAGGCTAGTGACAATGACAAGCGGGCAGCAGGAACGGGATGGCGATATGGCAGCGCAGCGAGATGCTCGTCCTTTAATAGGGCCGGGGATGGGGCCGGGCGCGCGGTTTGTTTATGGCCACGATGCCGTGCGGCAGCGTCGTGCCGTGCCGTTGCTATCGGGCGAATGGCCCAGGCTTCGCGAAGGCGACGACGTGACAGCCCTCAGGGGCCGGGCCCGTCCGGCCAGCGTGAGACCGCGACCGCGGGGGCGCCAAATGGAGTTTTCCTTGTGTCGGGGCCGGATGGGAAGCGAGCCGGCCGTGCGGGGAACGCAGCGCGCCTGTGCCGCCTCGGGCGGGGTCGCCGGACGCGCGGCCGGCGGGCTCCAAAGGCGCGGGGCACGGACGGGCGCCATGCGCCCGTGCCCCCGTGCCGTGTGGGCATGCAACACAGCCGTCTCACCGCCCGGTTCCACGCTTTCTGCCTGTGCGCGCAAGGCGGGCCGCGCTTCTTGCTCCGCGAACGAAACATTCGGCACATGTCCTTTTATTTTTTTTCTTGAAAACTATATAGAAACAGATATATCACTACACTCCAGAACAATTTTTTTTTTGCTTAATCGCCACGATTTACTATGATCACGCCCTTTTCCCTGGTGCCACCGGCTAGTGCCCAGCGGATATTCCTACCTCACAAAGATCATGCATACAGATAGAGGCATACAGCATACACGGACGCATCGCGTGCAGTTGTGTCCCTGCTGTAATCAATCCCAGAATAGAGTACTGTATGTGCACAGCCGTATAGATATCCTAGTACAGCTATTGCCATGTCAGCGCGATCGACAGCACAGCTAGCATGCAGAACCAATCCATTAATCCAACTCGGGATTTGTTTAAAGGCAGGCCCGGCGATCAGATTGGTGGTACGGCATCCTCGCAATAAAATGTACTCTACTGATCTGGGTTTGGTTTTTGCTGATGCATCATGCTTTGCATGGATTGGTGGAGGTGTATGCTTATCTAGCTACTCTCGGTCGTTCTCTCTCGAGTTCTATGGTTCCTGGTGCCTTTGCCGGCAACAACGCCCCCGTCTCACGGTCAGGGTGGCGCCGGTTTATGACGTGAGCGCGCATGTCGCCCGGGCTTCAAAATTTCCACAATCTATGCATTGTTTATGGAAGCGCGCAGGTTATCTTGTTGTCGGCTATGCATTTATTTAACTTATTACGATCACACGTCATGTCAGCTGCAGTGAGAGCCAGTGATCTTATGAACATTCTTAGCATCGTCCAGGACCAGCAAGTGCAGTCCAGATGCACCTGTGCATTTTCCCTGTTGGAGAAGATGAACATTCACGATAGCTGTTGCCATGGTCGTATGCATTGGGCTATTCTCACACAGGACAGCCACATATGTTTTTGGTTTATGAGATTAGCACAAGAAATTTATCTCCATCTTCTTACATTCTTCCGCTACTACTTAATAATGTGTTGGATCCTTTCCGTGCCTGCCAATTCGTTTACAAAAGAGGCTTCGGGCTCGTAATGTTCACGGGTTGAGAGCGGGAGTTGAACTCTAGACGGTCGAATCTCCTCTTGTTCCTCAGTAGTTCAATGGTAGAGTGGGCGGTTGTTCACCGGTCATAGGTTCGAATCCTACTCGGAGACATCTGATTCATTCTTTAGTGTAAGAATAAAGAACTGAATTAAAAGACTTGCTTCTATTGCAATGAGGAATCGTCCAAACAAGGCTTGCTTGGGGAATAGGTAACCTGTTCGCTATCCTTGTTTCTATTGCATTATATCTCATCGTATCACATTCTGTTCTACGACTGTACTTTGACAAAAGGAAAGACATTGAAATTAAGTTGTTTGGACGAAACTACGAATGAAAATGTGTTGGATTATTGCAACGTTCAATTAGGAAAGTATGGTATGTGTGTAAAGAAATATGACATCCTATTTAGGTATATATATAGATATTAATCATAATTCAGAATTGGTATTTGGCTACGGAAGCGGAGCCAAGTGGAGACGAAACTAGGCTCCTGCCCCCTTGCTCCATGTGGCTTCACTGACCTCAACAACTATGTTTGATGCTTGCTACTGTTGAAGAAGACAAACATGCCGTCAAACTTAGTGCAAACGATATTGTTGAAGGGGTATGGCTGAGTGGGTTATGTCCTGATGTGCTCTATTTTTCATTGCATTCGCCCCTCCTTCCTTTCCTCTTCTTCCTTGCAGTCGGCGCCTTTTTTCCTCTTTCCTTGCAGACGGTGCCCTCTTCTCTTCTTCCCCCTGTTTGTTGCTTCCTTCTATTCTTCATCACCGCATGACGAGCTGTGGAGGCAAAGTTAATGTGAAAAGTGTCGCACATGTGAGCAAACTTCAATTCCATGCTTTTGTTCACCCAAATAGAAATCGAATTGGAGCGCTTCCTAGGATCCCAAAAGCTAGTTTAAGTGTCATCGAAACAACATAATTTGGACTGTGGCCTATTCCAATATCATGGTCATGGCTGATATGATATTGAACCCAATTCAATTCCATACCCTCCAATGTCGACATTATCCAAATTAATTTGAACTGCGCTAAGTTTGATAAAGTTTACAGAAAACAATAGTATTGTTGACACCAAATTAATATCGTTATATACATTACGATATATGTTTCTATAATTTACCTCTTTGACATGGTAGATATTAGCACTACTTTTCTATATAAATAGTCACGACAAACTTAAAACATTTTGTGGTTTAGGACAATTCATTATTTGAGGACTGAAGGACGTATCTAAAACGAGACGTCGGAAGCCTTACGTCTTTTGTTATCGTAGCAGCCTAAACAAGGTTTAAAACTTCCGGTTTAAAAATGAGAGGTCGAACGGGTACCCTTTAGGAGGATTCAAGTAGAAAACTGACCTCACACTAGCTCACAGTCAGAGTCTCTCAGATAGATTAAAGAACGGGAGCAGTTCAAACTGCAAAACATCAGCAGACAGCAGCATGCATCACGCTGATAGAGATGCCATGCATGCATCAGTTCGACATTTCTTTTTTGTGGGCGGTCCGCCATCTCTATCAGGCCGCCATGATTAGGTACCTGCTGCGCATGTAGGAGTATCGTCTGCTCGACGACGAATCACACACACGCGCTGTCCCCATCACCATGTGCAGCATGGAGACTGGAGATCGGGCACGGACGGCCGCTGCACACTACCAGCTCCCGGCCGCCCTCTCTTTTCCGATGTCATTCTTCCACGAACCTGCCCCGGCCAAATGTTTGCCGTCCGTCCTCTACCTTTCTCTGCGCCTTTTGAGCTTTCAGGAATCATGGGACAGGAGCCCGCAGCTTTGTCTCTTCTCTATCAGCTTGTCCCATACCGTATGTGCTGTGCTGCTGTCTGCGTATACCAGCAGTATACCCTATAGCAGCGTCGATCGGCGTCGCTGCTGCAGTCGACCGCAGGAGAATATTCAGCGCAGGATGAGCATCAGCATGTGGTGGTCTTCGCCGGTGGTAGTGCTGCAGTCGACCACTAGTCACCATGGTTGTCATCGATCCAAGGCTCCAAGCTCGGTGGCGTCGATTCGAGGGCCGGCCAAGGACCACGCTCGCGCCGGTGCAAGTGTCAGGTTCCCCGTTTCCGCCATGGTCCATGGCTATCTCCCTCCAGGAGCTCGAGCTGCACCTCTATAGATTGCGCCCTGCCCATCCTGAACGACGCTCGCCAGAACTCGCGCCGTCGCCCGAGAATAGATGCACGGTCTCTGGCCCATGGGCCATGGGGGCAAGCCACCGGCGAGCGTCGTGGGCTGTCCTCTTGACTCTAATACATATGAGGATGGTGCAGTTCTCTAATACATATGGAAATTTAAGCTACAATTATGGTGAAAACTTGATTCCAATAGTAGTTTGTCAAATTTTTTTGTACGTGGGTGCATCTACACCCACAAATGAACGTAGCTTGGCCACTGGTTGATCACCCTAGGCTTACAAGGCATAGCTACACTGTACATTGGTAGAGAACAGAGCTTTACTTTCGGTGGGGAACCCCCTCTAGTCCTGGTTTTCCACCCAGGAGCAAGCATCCGGGACTAAAGGTGAGGAACCGGAACTAAAGGGGGACCTTTAGTCCCGGTGGGTAACACCAACCTGGACTAGTTGGTAATACGAACCGGGGCTAAATGTTTTTTTTCTTTTTTCTTTTCTTTTCATTTTTTTGTTTTCTTTTCAAAATAGGTTTTCGAAGTCGTATTGTATGCTGCTAATTATATATTTATACGCGTGTATAGTATGTTTCGGTTCAAGCACAATGAACGTATTAAATCACACAATTCAAGCATAGAAATATATATATATATATATGCATATGTGTATTTTACATTATATTATTTCATGTGCATATATTACAAAAGATTGCATTACAGTTGTTGTGATATAACAAGTTTCCTCTCATCCTCTAGCTTGGTTTCCATAGCAGTGTTGGGTCAAAGTAGAACTCGCCCTTGAAATCGATGACCTGGTCATTAAAAAATCCGGCTATAGACTCTTGAATTGCTTTGATTTGGTCTTGCCGTATGACCTTTTTCTCCAACCATCGAGCCTACAGGTTTGAATTAAAGGAAAATAAATTAATATATATACATACATATATATATAAAGACATAGTAACACAATCAATAATAATAATTAAATGAATATATAGTGTATTTTTTAACGTACTTTGAGTCTCTCTGTAGGGGTTCTTTGGGAGACCACCTTGATAAACTTGCAAACATAGTAACCACAGTAGTTGTTCCCCTGTTCCTGCCTCAGACACCACTTTACGAGAAAAAGATTTGTTATCCAATCCGGTGATCCGGTGAAAGCTATATGTTTAATTAATAAAAATGATGCGATTTAGGGGA